GGGGGGGTGGTGGAGGGGTCGGGGGTTCGGGGCAGTTTTGTCACGTTGAAAGTTTAGCCAAGTCCAGGCAATAATTAAAAAAAAAAAAATATACGACTGGTAGAAGATCAGAGGGACTGAGAATTTTGGAAATGGGTTCTTGGCGTCACCATGTGGCACTCTTGTAGACGTTAGTCTGGGGGTTTCAGAATGTTTTCAGGAGCAAAGGAAAAGAGGAAGAACTGTTTGTTTTGTTTTTTTAAACTCCATTTTAACAAGAGCTGGCTGCAGTCCGTAGCATCTAGATTCCAGGAAGTACCGTGTATTTTTAGACTTTATTCCAGTGTAACAAGAGCTTGCTGCAATCCGTGGCATCTAGATTCCAGGAAGTACCGTTAGATTTAGAATTTATTCCAGTGTAACAAGAGCTGGCTGCAATCCGTGGCATCTAGATTCCAGGAAGTACCGTGTATATTTCGAATTTATTCTGAATTTGTTAGCAGTAAAGAATATACGTTAATTTCTGTGGAAGTAATTGTAAAGATTGCTTTATCCGTGCTTAGTATTAAGCATGTTGATTGCTTTTAAATTACAATAATGCTATGTATTTTTTTAAGAGGACGGGGTATGAGCTATTTATTAGGCACATTATCTGGCCTGGACCGACAGGCTGAGCACAGTTACCCGGGAAACACGTACCTTGTCTGTACCGGCTGGGCACAGTTACCCGGGAAACACGTATCTTGTCTGTACCGGCTGGGCACAGTGACCCGGGGACACACGTATCTTGTCTGTACCGGCTGGACACAGTGACCCGGGGACACACGTACCTTGTCTGTACCGGCTGGGCACAGTGACCCGGGGAAACACGTATCTTGTCTGTACCGGCTGGACACAGTGACCCGGGGACACACGTACCTTGTCTGTACCGGCTGGGCACAGTGACCCGGGGAAACACGTATCGTGTCTGTACCGGCTGGACACAGTGACCCGGGGAAACAAGTTGACCCTGTGAATGCGATCCGCCCCGAGGCAAAAAATATCAAGCCTTGCCAAGGTGTTGATGTGTTCACGTCACTTCATCCACCAGTCTTTTTAAATTGATTATCACTCCTCATATTGCATTTTCTAGGCTTGACATTCATGAGGAAATTGATTGACAAAAATGGAGGTTTTAGTGGGTTAACGCAATGGTAAATCGGGCCATTTTTATGTGCAATACACTCGGGGTGTTTCGGCTGGCCAACTGAATGTTAACTAATGTTTCCAACTCAAAAGTTTTGTTGTAAAGTGCATAGCTTCAAATAGGGGACACCGTAAAGAATAGCATAACTTAATTATGGCACAATGCAATGGTTTCAAAAAGAAAATTATGAAGTAACTTAACATTGGTTCAAAGACAAAGGTTTATGGACATGATGATTTAGCTAGGTTTTTTGATATCACCTAAACAAAAAAAAAAAAACATTGACCCAAGACAAATGAATGGACAGTTCTGATGGCACAAAGGTGACTGAATATATTTAGTCCTGAGAGAGATAAAACTCAACCTACTACTGCATTAGATGAGAGCGGGGTTGGTTGTCAAAACGCTTGTATTTTAATCATCGGAAAAGATGCGACAAACTGGTTTGAATGCACATCTGCGAGTTACCTGTGCACGCGCAACTACGATTTACCTGTTCATTTACAAATATGAGGTATCTGTGCATGCACTTTGTGATATATGTGCATGCACAACTACGAGGTATCTGTTCATGGATAACTACGAGCTATCTGTGCATGCTCAACTTCGAGGTATATGTGCCTGCAGAACTACAAGTTACCCGTGCATGTACAATGACAAGTTACCCGTGCATGTACAATGACAAGTTACCCGTGCATGTACAATGACAAGTTACCCGTGCATGTACAATGAAAAGTTACCCGTGCATGTACAATGACAAGTTACCCGTGCATGTACAATGACAAGTTACCCGTGCATGTACAATGACAAGTTACCCGTGCATGTACAATGACAAGTTACCCGTGCATGTACAATGACAAGTTACCCGTGCATGTACAATGACAAGTTACCCATGCATGGAACACAACGAGGAACCTAAGTGTAAACAGCTGCGAGATACATGTGCATTCATAACTACGAGTTACCGCGCATGCTCAACTACAAGTTACCTGTGCATGCACAACTACGAGCTATCTGTGCATGCATAGCAATGTGGTGTCTGTGCATGAAGAGCTGCGAAGTGCCTGTGAATGCACAACTAAGAGGTGCCTGCTCATGCAGAAGTACAATTTTCACGTGCATTAACAACAACGAGTGGTCTGTGCATGTACAACTATGAGGTACCTGTGCATAAACAGCTACGAGGTGCCTGTGCATGCACATCTGCGAGGTATCTGTGAATGCACATGTAGGGGGTACTTGTGCTTGCATAACTATGAGTTATCTTTGCATGCACTGCTACGAGGTACCTGTGCATGTACTAATATACCTGTTCGTGTAGATTTATCAAGTTTCAATGCCTTTAATTCAAAACTTTTTGAGGGTCTAAAGAAATAACGTTGACGGTTCTTACATTCTTGATTATCAACAGTTAATAAATTGTCGATTGCTTCGATTTTTTTATGTTTTCCTTTGTAGAGGAAGGTAGTAAATAATTTTTAAAATGTGAACCTCACCAGATAATTTCACCTGTGCCTCTTAACTTCACTTTCGACTCTTAAATTATGTCTGTTAATTGTATCCTCCCCTGCTAATACTATCCCTGCCTGTTAATTTCACGCCTGTTCATTTGACACTTGACTTTTAGTGTCTCCATCATCTGCTCATTTCACCTTCGTCTGTCAAAATTAGATTAAATGTTTATTTTCCCCTCCTGTGAACAAGAGGTTTACATGTTCATGTGTCACGGTTGCGTAGATTTTTTATGTGCAATTTTCAAGAAATGAATGTTAATAAATTGATTTCTGGCCTTCATTTTACTTGTTGTTTTTTTCTTCTTTTTTTCCCCCCAAGTTTGTGAAACACATTTGGGTCACAATAGGAATAACTCATCATAGTTTTGTTCCCATCTAATTTCTAAACGATAAGCTGAAACAACAATTGAGTTTTGTTTGTTGATTAGTGACAGTACGCACATTTTTAAAAAAAGCACTAACTCTTAAATCGCCATTACTTACTTGATTATTTCAGATGCAGCAGTGATTTTGACACAAATTTTCTAGTGGAACGAATCACGATTTACAGAAAAATTACCTTTCCATGGAATATTTTATTTCAACCATAACTATTGCTACTTTATGATGTAAAATGTAAAGACTTACATAAGTTTGATTACAAATTTATTTTGTTTGTGAATGTAAACAGTGTTTATTTTAGACATTTTCTCCCGGGCGAGGGAGCACTTCAGATTTTTTGGTGGGGGGTGAACAGTGCCAGTTGCCAGCGAGCAGTGGCAAGAGGGGCAAGAGTGGCAAGATGGGCAAGAATGGCAAGATGGGCAAGAATGGCAAGAGGGGCAAGAATGTCAAGAGGGGCAAGAGGGGCAAGAGGGGCTAGAGGGGCAAGAGTGGCAAGAGGGGCTGGAGGGGCAAGAGGGGCAAGAGTGGCAAGAGGGGCAAGAGTGGCAAGAGGAGCAAGAGGTAAACTCAGCAAGCCAAGAGCATATCTCTCTAGTAGGGAAATGCATGTCAGGGTAGAATTGGAAAGGCTAGGTCAGCATATGTGCTTTTAGAGAAAATATGAGAGTCAAAGTAGCTGAGTCTGCAAACCAAAGTCAGAATTTTCAAAACAAAGGTCAAAACAGTCCATCCTACTCTGCGGAGCAACAATGCGGAGAGAAACAGTGAGCATTACACAGAAAGTTCAGACCTCTTTAAACAATTGCACTTGAATTAGAAAGATACTGAGCATCAAATGGCCAGACACCATCATCAACATAGACATATAAGAAAGGACATTCGAAGAGCGTATTGGTTAAGAAGACATAATAAGGAAAAGATGGAGGTCAATATGGCACTGGCACACTCTTCACGTTTCTGCCGATAATTCTCATACAATCCTTAACATGAAAACTACCGTTGAAAAAAACGAGAAGAGGCCATTAAAATAGATGGAGGCGCAAGCTAGAGACGGACATCCAAAGAATGGGATACAACTATTAAGCGACTGGAAAGGAAAGCACAGGGCCGGGTTGAATGGAACATTCTTGTAGACGGCCTATGCCCCTGAAGGGTAAGAGGCATAACTAAGTAAGTAAGAGATATGAATCTTGCGCTTCAGAGGGGACTGAGGAGCCTAGTCTCCAGAATTGTGATTATTATTTATAAATTTAACAGGTGCCTTTTGTAGTTTAGTTGAATTCAAAGTTTCTATTAGATTTTTTGATTACGGGAAATACATTTTTATGGGTCTGGGGAAGCATTTTTGTGCCAGTGCCATACAAAGACTGAATTCACCCAGGCTGGGGCGTGCTTAGGTGTAATCATTTGTCAGAAGCATATATTCAAATTCATACTGTAACATTGATTAGCGTAAATGAATTTGGGTGCATAAATTGAGAGTGCTGAAGACAGGCCCAGTCAACCCTGGAGTCCTTTGAAATGGTTATATTTCAAAATTGGTAACCTTTCAGCTGATCATCTCACATCATATGAACAACAAATGAATGGATTAACAAAAGTTGACCTTTCATTACTCAATTAATATAAAATAAATGACGGGGGGGGGGATGTAAAATTTGTTACAAACCACCCTGCTTTACCCTACACAAGTCAAAGCACTTTTGTTATAAATTAATTTCGTAAAATTGCTTTTATTTTCTATCATTTTCAATTATATTTTTTTCTCAACGTACGGCCAATAATCTTTTAAAACAGTCGCTCGTCACTTATGTCGAAGAAGCAACAATTTGTAGAAAGTATCATTTTGATGACTTTATTGTGAAAATAAATAACCAACACCGTCTGTACACACGTATAAAGACCGCCCTTTGCTTCTACTTTTGTATAAATATTCCGACGTACTGAGCATGCGCGGGATGCAGATCGTAAAGGCGCGTTGCACGCTCTTTTTTTATTTTTATTTCGTCACCTCAACTTTCCTGTCCCATCCAGGCCTTAAATAGAAGAGGGCGAGGCTGTCAGTCCCCACTGTCTCAAGTGTTCTGTCCTAAACAAGTTTCGGGTTTCATTCGAGTCCTACGGGGATTTTCTGATTACGCGGTATTTGTGGAGTTTGTTGGAGTTGTTTTTTTTTTTCTTCAATGAGTTTTTAATCTTTTAGAGTTTTATTTTCTCCAAGACTCTAGCAAAGTTGTCGTTGAAAAGAAGCAGCTTGGTGATCCGATCAGACTCTTATGACATCAGACGCAATTTCCTTCAATTATATTTCAACGATGCTTATTATTTATCAAGGGTGTGATATCTAGAATTAACACATTTGTTTGAAGACTTCTAAAGTGTGCACTAAATGAGAATAAACAACAGTAGCCAAAGACAGCGACATCACTGAAAGCCAAACGTTACTCGTCATTTGAATTTAAGTTTCCGAATCGGACGTATCTGTGAGGAAGATTGATGTAGACTGAGGTAGATTGGTGTAGATTGAGGTAGAGTGTTGTAGAGTGAGGTAGACTGGTGTAGAGTGAGGTAGACTGGTGTAAATTCAGTCAGATTGGTGTAGATTCAGTCAGATTGGTGTAGATTCAATCCGATTGTCGAAGAGAATTTCCCACTGGTTTATAAAATATTTTTTCAACTCGTTTCATTTCTGGAGATGAATATTTTATTATCGCTTGTCCTGCTATGCTGCATGCTGATGTCGGTCCAAGCTGTAGGGGGTGACTATGTCAATGATCAGTGGCTAACGAGTAAGTATGTTTCATACAAAAAAACTTGGGCAATAAGTAAAACCTTTTTTCATTTCTCGTCACTATCAACGACGGTGTAAATGTAGATGGGTGGAACGACAGTAAAAATGAGGTTCCTAAATTTAAGACCAAAAGAAATAAGAATTTATAGTATCATACTGTTACGCACTGCCTTCTAGTGTGAGAATTTAATCTCCTATTTTAAATGCATACCTCGTTCAAACAGTGCCTAACAAAGGACGATACCATTGAAGGACGATACCATTGAAGGACGATACCATTGAAGGACGATACCATTGAAGGACGATACCATTGAAGGACGATACCATTGAGAAATACAATAACAAAAATATGACACGCAAAACAGTACCAATAACAATTAAAAAGATTTAATTTAGTAATAATACAATTACAAAACAAAAGAAATATAATAACAAATCATCAACTTACAGTATGGTAGATCTTTTTCCGGTACACAATTAGTACAATATGTCAATTAATAATGATAAATGATGAATGCGAATAAACACATATGAGCACACAAAGTATAATACAATTGTATCGTAAAGTTAATAATATCTCTCTGAATCTCTCTCTCCGTGTCTGTCAATCCCATTATATATGCAGCGTAAGCACTGCCTTCCAGAAACTACTCAGCATTTATTTACGTTTCTAGAACAAATCGCAATCATTAGACAAGATACATGGAGACATAATAACCATGTTTAATTGGTGGTCGGTAGTAAACACTATACATCAAAGAGATAAGCCACGCCCATCTATGATCGTAGCCGTGTGCAAGGAATCTTATTAGGGTCAAGCAAAGTTCACGCACGGGACAAAGTGTCATACATAACAATACCATGTTTTAGAAACGTAACCAAGAGATAATGTGATACAATTTTTTTTTTTTTTTTTTTTTTTTTTTTTTTAAGCAAAAACAAACTCCCCCCCTTGAATTCAAGAAATAAAATTGATTCATTCTTAAGATGTATCCACTTTCAAATGTCCCATAATGTCACACATAATGTTGAGTTTTCTGGATTTTTTTTTTCTTTAATAAAAATCTCCGAAAATCCACGCAAGTTATTTTTGTTTTTAAAATTTGACTAAATTAGCGGTGGTCTCAAACATTTATCTGACGGCCACACAATTCAGAGGATAAAGTTGAACACAGTGTTATATGGTTTTTTGTTTCTCTTTCGGGCTTTCCAGCATATATTATAGCGGTTCTCAAACAGCATTACGAATCAAAAGTCAAGAAAAGGTTCTGTACTGTTTCCTTTTTTACGCTCGAAAGAAAAAAGAATATATTATTATTTAATATTCCAGCATTTTTTTTTTATGTGTCCTAGTATCATTTCGTTTATTTTAAAACAATCCAATTTATTAAATCCAATAAAGAGCATTCCATGTAAAGTAAACAGAAATATTTTAAGGAGCAGTATCTGTAAAAAGAAAAAAAAAAGTGAATTATTAGGTACATGGCACGGACAAATAAGTTAAACAAAATACTGAATTATCGTTGTAATTTTGTGTTTATTAATTATAACCCGTATTAAAATTATATAATTGCCCCAATTAGTAATCTGAGCACCCGCTATATATATGAATGATCCCAGAGTCTCTTGCTAAACCAAAGCCTGCCAAAAACACTGTCCTAAAACATAAGTTATCAATATTTAGGAACAGAACATAAGAAGTGTTGATGAAGCAGTGTACGCTCTCAGTGTTAACACTATAATGTTTAAAAGTAGCGAGGCTCTAGAACTCATTAGTCTCCATTATTTGCTCTCTTTTTTTTGTGTGTGTTAGTAAAAATGTACAAAGAAATTGCAGCCTGAAAGATTCAAAAGTTAAGAGGGGAAAAAAGCGATTTTCGTTTTTTAATTTGTATAATAATTTTTTGTTATTTGTTGGATGTTTGGTCTGGCATTGGTAATATATTCATTTAATTAAAGTTGAATCGCTGATTGATAGCGCTTTCTTAAATTCGGTTTATTTTTTTAAAAATGGTATTTAACACTGCAATGATATTCATGATGTTTTTTTTTCAGCCAAAATTGAAACACATTACTGGGACAGCCTAGATATTAAGACGTTGGTTTGTGCAGCGCAACCTGAAAGAAAAGTGGAAATTTTGTACAAACGATCTTCAAAATCAATCGAAAAGTTTGCAATTGCAAATGGAGATCAGAATGATTGTCAACTAAGCACGTCAATAAATAATAATTCTCGTGTAGCATGTTGGCGCAGCTCCGACGGCGATGTCTATTTCAAGGTTGTGCGAATAAGTCCAGAGGACCTCTATATCTGCCAGATTGACGATGATCACGAAGTCATATTGATTTCGGTTAAAGGTAAGGTCACATTCATTATTTTCTTCATTCAGATGGAGCTATCAATTAGGACTTAATTGCTATATCGTTTTAACGTTTATTTATAGGTTTATTTATATTAAATATATATATAAACAATAATGATGGCAATTATTGACTTGTGCGAGCGATCAATTCTTATTTGCAGAGAGCAGATGGTGGCGATGAATGATGCAATAAAAAGTAATAATGACGTTTGGCATTTTTTTGGACAAAAAAAAACACAAGAAAATCATGGTATCCACCGGCAATTTTGCCTCTAAGCTTTGCTGATTCTTGTGCAAAAATCATACAGTTGTGTGCAAAGTTTTACAGCTTCAGGTTTTTTTTTTTGTGTGCAACATTTTACAGCCCACAAACACAAACACACACTTACATAGAAATTTGCTGCGCGTATACTCAAAACTGCTGCGCGGCGTCTCTGAGTGATCCGCGCAGCTTACGGGCACATTGTCCACCGGTTGTTTTCTTAACTGATCCAGCGGTCAATAAGGTTAAACTCAAAGACAGCGGCGCTAAATACTATACCTTGTCAGATTACTTGATAAAACTTGCTTTTATTTACAATCTACATTAATAAAAAGAAATGGTGTAAACTAAACGACATTCGTGTATAGATCTTATTAAAGTATAAAATTACAAACCAACACTCTGTATACGCAATAATAATCTTTTTAATTCTCAAAGGAATAATATAAAAAGTGTTAAAAAGGGGGGCGGGGATATCTTTAGCGGACGCCAAATGTTTATAAATGGGCTGTTACGAAATTTTATCAGTATAGGGGAATTATTATTTTTATATGGCTCGTTGACTAACAGTCCACATCAAAAGGACGATACCATAAATTAGATCATATATATATAGAGCCTATATGTAAGCGTGAAATTGTGTGTGTTTGTGGTTTTGTATGTTTGTTCTACATAGGCTTTTACATGGATGGATGGATCTTGATCAAACTTGGCACATATATACATCATTATCCGGAAGGAAATCTAAAGGGATTATGAACTTCTAAAAAAAAAAAATCTTTTATAAGTCACTGCATTGGTCGTTGCGTCACTTGAGATTCTCCCCCCCCTCCCACGTGACTTTAAATCTTTCGCAACATCTCTGGTACACAATGTTGTCATAACTTCCCCCGACGTTTGAGCGGACATCAACCTAACCACTGCTATCATATAACGTTCGTAATGGACTCGTCACGATGTTGTCAGCTACGCTACAACTGTTGGTCAGTTGGTCAGTTTCCGTGTTGTGGAATGCCCCCCACCCCTGTACCCCACAGGTTGACTACCAAGGTCTGAACACTCTGGTCTGGGTTCGGGCACATTATGGTCTTCACTATAACGTATCTAAATGTGCCCTAATTTAAAAAGAAATATGATGGGTAAGGGAGTAGAGGTGGGGGTAGTGGGTGGTGGGTAGTTGGATAGGGTGTAGTGACGTAATGAAGGAATGGGTAGTCAGTAGTTGGGTAATGGGGAGTGGGATAATGGATAGTGGGGTAGTGGGGTCGAAGGCAAAGAGGTAATTTGTAGTGGGGTATGTGATAGTGGATAGTAGGTAGTGGGGGTAGTGAGCTGTGGGGTAGAGAATTCCTTGGCAACAACTATTTTTACTAGCTGACCCCACCCCCCACACACATACACATGTTACATACCCTGGAATACCGTATTGTACGATTTTGAGACGCTATTTGACCATTCTAGGTTTTCGAGGTTAAACAGGTCTGTAATAAACAAGAAAATCTAGATATAATAATTTTCAAATTGAAAATGTTAGATTAACGTGTAAACAGCCAGGAGTTCTCTTCGAGTGTGAAGATCTCCTAGTATTCTAAACATAATTTTTACATTGTATTTCAAAATTTCGCTTTTAATCCGTTTTATGACATTTATCGACTGTAGTTGTCGTACAATGCTTGTCTCTTCTCGACTCCCGTGAAATTATATTTATTTAATTCATCTGCCTGTTCCATTGTTATTTAAGATCCAGATGTCAACACAGCCCCAAGCACAAACCTTACCTCACCTTCCACCGCAACGCCTACCGCACCACCCAATACACCCCGAACGACGACGAAAGGCGTGGACGCTGAACAGGCGGCGGCCGTTGTAGCTTACCAGGCTGCCACCATTGCCCTTGCCGCCATCCCTGGTGTCATTGGCATCGTTACGGTGGTGAAAGCCGCCCTCTGGATCAGCGCGAACGGTTTGTGAAATTTTAGTTTTTTTGTTTTTAATCTGGTTTTTTGTGGAGGGACAAATAAAATCACGTGACACTTACTATAGGCCTAAAGCGAATGTCGGACCATAAATTGTTATCTGTAAATTTAAAAAAATAAATAGAAGCGTTTGTAGTGAGTAGTGGCCTAAAATAAATATTATAAGGAAGGAAGGACAGCCAGAAACGATCATTGTGCCCATGGGGGGCTCATACTGTAAAGGCAGGTCACATATGGGAGGGCCATGAAACGAGACGCCACAATGGTAAGGATGTCCTCTGGTAACGGGCTGTACGTTGGATATGTCACTTGGGGGAAGTGGATCTTTTGTGATGGAACACTTGGGAGAAAGTAATACTTTTTTGACTGAGAGGGATTGGAACTTTTGTGGACAAACGTTGGGATGAATTTGAACTTTTGTCATGGGAAGTGAAACTTTTGTCATGGGAAGTGAAACTTTTGTTATGGGAAGTGAAACTTTTGTCATGGGAAGTGAAACTTTTGTCATGGGAAGTGAAACTTTTGTCATGGGAAGTGAAACTTTTGTCATGGGAAGTGAAACTTTTGTCATGGGAAGTGAAACTTTTGTCACGGGAAGTGAAACTTTTGTCATGGGAAGTGAAACTTTTGTCATGGGAAGTGAAACTTTTGTCATGGGAAGTGAAACTTTTGTCATGGGAAGTGAAACTTTTGTCATGGGAAGTGAAACTTTTGTCATGGGAAGTGAAACTTTTGTCATGGGAAGTGAAACTTTTGTCATGGGAAGTGAAACTTTTGTCATGGGAAGTGAAACTTTTGTCATGGGAAGTGAAACTTTTGTCATGGGAAGTGAAACTTTTGTCATGGGAAGTGAAACTTTTGTTAAGCAACATGGGCAAGAAGCGGACCTTTCGTGACTGAACATTGGGAGGAAGTTGACCTTTTCTCAAGAAACATTGGAAGGAATTTCAACGTTTGTGAAGCACCATTGGGAAGAAGTGGAAATTTTGTGACGGAAAATTGAGAGGATGTGTAACTTTAGTGACGGAATATTGGGAGGAAGTCGAAATTTCGTGAAGGACAATTTGGAGGAAGTCAAACTTTTGAGAAGCAACATTAGGAGGAAGTAGAATTTTTGTGAAGAATCATTCAGAGGAATTGGAATTTTTGTGAAAGAACATTGGGAGGAAGTGTAACTTTATGACGTAGCCTGTGCATTGATTGGTTTGTAAGAAGAAGAACACTTAAGACAGGTCATTCAGCCTGGGCATTGATTGGTTTGAAAGAAGAAGTACGCTTAAGACAGGTCGTTCAACGTGGGCTTGGATTGAAATGCACTTTAAAGACAGGGCACTTGAAAGGGTTGGCACTCTTAGGATGGGTCATGAAGATGGGAAATTCCAACTCGATTAAATTTTACTTTTTGTAAAAGGTCACATGGACGAAGTTACACTTTTATGATCGGTAGTGTGGATAAAGTGCCACTTCTGTGTTAAGTCACGTGGATGATGTGACACTTTTGTGGAAGTTCACGTTGTTGACCAGGAACATGCGGAAAGGAGTCTAAAGGGGGGGGGGGGAGAAGGATAGCTTTGACAAAATGTTCATCTTTGAATGGACGCATTGGCCTTGAAATCGTTAAAATTAAAAGACTAATACATTTAATGTAACTTCCCATGACTTATTTCATATATCAAACTTTACCAAAAGTATACGGCATTTATTGGACACATAATGTATGTTAATGATTGAAAGGAAAAATCGATAAAGCCATGAGTTTTTTTTTTATAGGTTACTATACATCAAAATAGAAAAAAATATACAAGAATATGAAAGATAACCATATAAACGCTTAAAAAGCGAAACAGTTTAAATACTTTCGGAATCTTTAAACAATTATTAGAATTGAGACCTTCATATATATATATATGTGTGTGTGTGTGTGTGTTTAGTATTTATATTATATATTAGAAATACATTTAAAATAACAATTTATGTTTTCATTATTATGCTTTATTTTTTAACATGCTTTTTTTCATATTTTTTACAACTATATAGGGCTACCAAAGTGTTCTGCTGAGTGCGTAATGCAATGCCTGGGATGGCTTTCATGCTTTCGAAAGAGAGTGGTGATTAAGTGAGTATTCATCTAATTTACTTATAAAGTTAACATATGATGACAAAACGGGCAAATAATTTTTTTCTGGCAGTAGATCGACGGATTCAAGGATACGGTTAATGTACACAACATATTACCTCAGAATCACTCACAACTTGAATAAAATCGCCAACTCTATAGTCAATCTTACCTGTAATCACTCAAAATGCAATGCTGGCCGTAATGTGTATGAAAAACTTTTTCGGGCTGTAAGAAAATAGGACAGGAGGCAAATCTAGTAACAAAATAAAAAATTTTTTTTAAAAATTCGTTGCTTAGCAGGCCGCAAAGTGGGTGCTGGCCAGGTTTGGGGAGCTAAACATTACTCCCCCGTTGCCACCTGTGTTACGACTTTACTTTACTAACTTGAGACCTTCATCAAATGGCTCGGCCTTCTTACGTTGTCTAGGGTGTATGGATTGAGACCTTCATCAAATGGCTCGGCCTTCTTACGTTGTCTAGGGTGTGTGGATTGAGACCTTCATCAAATGGCTCGGCCTTCTTACGTTGTCTAGGGTGTGTGGATTGAGACCTTCATCAAACGGCTCGGCCTTCTTACGTTGTCTAGGGTGTATGAATCTCTCTCTCACATAAGACACAACGTGAGGAGCTTCCCATTTACACATGCATTTTATATCTATGATTACAAGAAATGACTTGAGGAGTTTCCCATTTACACATGCATTTCATATCTATGACTACAAGAAACGACATGAGAAGCTTACCATTTACACATGCATTTCATATCTATGATTACAAGAAACGACGTGAGGAGTTTCCCATTTACACATGCATTTCATATCTATGACTACAAGAAACGACATGAGAAGCTTTCTATTTACACATGATTTCATATCTATGACTACAAGAAACGACGTGAGGAGCTTCCCATTTACATGCATTTCATATCTATTACTACAAGAAATGACACGAGGAGCTTCCCATTTACACATGCATTTCATATCTATGACTACAAGAAACGATATGAGGAGCTTCCCATTTACACATGCATTTCATATTTATGATTACAAGAAACGACTTGAGGAGTTTCCCATTTACACATGCATTTCATATCTATGACTACAAGAAACGATCTCTACACTAATGAAATCGTTTTTTAACCCTTTGACCGGAGAGCGGAGATTGCTTTCGTGCACCGTACTTTATAATAGGGTCTCATCTTCATCTTTGTCAGCCCCATCGTTCTTCTATTTGTTTTTCTTCTCTTGTAGTTGTCCTGACAAGTTCTCTGTTAATGTCACCATAGTCGACATGTTTCCGGACTCCTTTCTTGATCGTTTAATCAAAATTGGGTATTGCAACTTTCGAAGCGGTTGTTCGACTGAAGGCAGGAGATTTTCTCAAATGTCATTCTATTTTATTGACCTACAAAAAGCATTTTGATATGGTCAGTTGGAACAGGCCGTTCTTCAAACTTTGGAGAAATTGACTTCTTCATTTGACAGCTTTATGTCGTCATCACATGATTTGAGGACATAAGCTACAATGTTAACATGGAAGAAATTCATAAACAACAGATGTGTCAAACAAGTGTTCTGTTACATGTCTTTCTCCCGCCCTCACCCATACAAAATAAAATAAATAATTGGCACACAAGGAATGTCCAAACAGCATAACCTGTGGTGATTAGTTGAACAACAGAAATGTTCAAACTGCATAATCTATGATGATTAGTTTAACAACAGAAATGTCCCAACAGCAGAACTTTTGATGATTTGTTGAACAACCAAAATATCCAAGCAGCAGAAAATTAGAGAAATTCTGTCGATAATAAATTAATGGTTTCAGGACAACCTCACATTCCAGTGTCACTGACGCATTTGCTCTATGTCGTGCCACTGACGCAATTTCTTGAACAATAGGAATGTCCCAACAGCAGAACTTTTGATGATTTGTTGAACAAAAGAAATGTGCAAGCAGCACAAATTAGGTTGATAAGTTAAACAGCAGTAAGGCCCATGCAGGAGAAATTCTGTCGATAATAAATTAATGGTTTCAGAACAACCTCACATTCCAGTGATGAGAAAACTGGACGTCTGCTAGCCTACTTGTTCAGTAACGTCAATGGTGCTTGGCATACATCACGGGGGGGATAAGACTCGTTAGCCTAGGTTGGCAACTCATCTAAGTGATTGTAGTCTCTGTGATCGAACCCACATACGCGGACTGTATGAGTTAGTTTTGGTTTGGCAACTCATCTACATGATTTTTGTCTCTGTCATCAAAACCGGAGATGCAGTCCCGTAGGGATTATGATATTGAAAAAATGATATTTCCGAAACTGTTTCGACGGGAAACGCATAAAAAGCACAGTAAGATTCAAGAAACACTGCTGGTCGTCTACTGCATTCATGACGATTTCGGTCGTCTGAACCAAGTCTTTCCATCTGATAAAAAATATGAAAAAATTATTCCATAGAGAATGTTAATATTTTTTGGGATATATTTATGAGATGGCTGATAATTATTGGCCTGTGTATGCAAGTCATTTAAATGTAACAAATATGTTGTTTTTTTTCCCTTTAGCATTGAACTTAACACCGACAAGCAACAGGAGGACGTGAACAAAGCAAAGGATCGAACGGTTGATGTAGATGCCGTGGAGAGCATCAACGAAATTTTGGAAACATATAATTTTTGAAATATGTTTAAAAAAAGCAAAAATGTACAAACTTGCCAAACCATCACAAGTCTCTTGTGTTTAATAGTAACTGTTTAGTTCAAAAATTTAATAAATTATTTTAGATAAATTACTCCATACTTTGAGGCGAGTTGTTGTTTTATAGAGAGAGTTGTGATAACATATTATAATCATGAGTGGTGAGTTAATACATTATTTANTATATATATATATATATATATATATATATATAAAGAGTCATGAATGGTTAGTTAATACATTTTATATACATATGAACCTAACTGTGGGTTTATCTTCCATGGGAGTCTCAAAAATAAACATATATTTTTTTACAAGTATAGCATTGATCAAGCAGAAAAGTTATGGGACAAAAGGTCAACAGAGCGCTTAAGTTTTTATTTAAAATTAGTAAATCAAAGTAGGGTTAAACCTCAAAAAAGGAACTCAGTAAAACAACTAACGTATCGACAGAAAGCCTTCGTCAGCGAACAAAACAACAGAAAATAACAGTATAAAAAAAAAATAGCACTTAGCTTAGAATTATTATCCGTGGGCAGCAAAAGAAATGTGAAAGAAAGTAAGTGAGTGAGAGATTAAATAGGGAAGAGCGAAAGAAAAGAGGAGAAGTAAGTCCACTTCGATAGGTCAGGACGTGGAGGGGCGGAGGTAGGTTCAAGCTGTTAAAAGAGACATGACATTCATCCCATCTGGAGTCAATGTGCCATAAGTCAGTATAAGCCTGTGTTCCAATTTCACCCGACTGAATGTGTTCGTGCTAGCTACGATCGCACTTATTGAAAAGTCTGTCTTGCCCAGGCGGTCGCTACTATTGAAATTTTTTAGACCGGACACTGTTTATCTCGTGCTATGTTAAGGTCGGTGTTCGGTTCATCTGTCAGAGAGTCGGCGTCCAGTCTTCCATATGTATGTCATCTGGAAGTGGGTGCAGACAATGGCGTATACAACGTTGCGGTTTGTACATAGGAAACCGTCGAATATCTGAAAAATGCCCGTTAGGAAAACGTACGTGTTGAGTCTGTACGACAAAAGGGCAAGTGTTGCAACGGCTGCGTCCACACGGCTTGGTCCAAAAGTTGGAGTGGACAGCATTGATACGATTGCTCAAAGTTTTCATAAGGTTGAGATGTCTTCCCTTCAATTTCCTCCAAGATATGACAATGGATGCATTTTACCTTGTTCCAAACATAACACATGTCACTGACTCATTTGCTCTATGTCATGTCACTGACTCATTTGCTCTATGTCGTGCCACTGACAATATTTCTTGAACAATAGGAATGTCCCAACTGCAGAACTTTTGATGATTTGTTGAACAAAAGAAATGTGCAAGCAGCACAAATTAGGTTGATAAGTTAAAGAGCAGTAAGGCCCATGCAGGAGAAATTCTGTAAATAATAAATTAATGGTTTCAGAACAACCTCACATTCCAGTGATGAGAAAACTGGACGTCTGCTAGCCTACGTGTTCAGTAACGTCAATGGTGATTGGCATACATCACGGGGGGGATAAGACTCGTTAGCCTAGGTTTGCAACTCATCTAAATGATTGTAGTCTCTGTGATCAAGCCCAGAGATGAGGGAGGTGTGAATTAGTTTTAGTTTGGCAACTCATCTAAATGATTGTAGTCTCTGTGATCGAACCCACATACGCGGACTGTCTGAGTTAGTTTTGGTTTGGCAACATACCATCTACTAAAGTTACTGGACAAAACATGAACTCAAATATCGCAGATTTATGAATTCCAATTTTTGCTACCTTCCCTCCCCATGATACGTCAATGCAAACTTTTTTTTTCACGCCCATGAACTATATAAAAAATATTCCCAGTTCTCAAACACGTTTAAACTGAATATTTTTTTACACCATACTTAAATTGAGACGATTTCATTTATCGAAAAATATTACGCATCAAACGAAGTTGCGTTATTCAAAAAATATAAATGATTTAGCGTAGTTATCGGGTATTAAAATTTTTGGGCTAGCGATATCATTATCTATATTTAGCCTGCGTGGGGGTGGTTGTGTTTGACCTTTGCTGGGGAATTATATATATAGTGGAAGGATAATATATAATAAACATTGACTGTCAGTGTTTTATAACATATAACTTTCAGATATTATTTTATAAACATATATTGTCATTATATTATATTAATACATATATTGTTAGTATATTTTAACATTGTTTTTCGTCAATCGGGAGTCGACCATGACCACTTTAATCATCAGAGTTTGTGCTGGTTCTGTCTGTGGGTGCGCAGATGGCTAATGAGGCCAATTCTGCCACGAAATTTTCTTTTACTTTAGGTGCAGGGAAATGATGGGGCATTTCCGAGAGCAGAGTCAACACGGGCATTCCTGGCATGTCTTTTGCGCTCTGCTGGCGCTCTTCTGCCAACTACACGTTGCATGGAGCTCCTGTGGAAAGTGGAATGACTTGATGTTCGATCCTTTCCTCTTTTCTCCCGTGTTTACGTTTATGTCGAGCTTTCAATGAGCCTTTTATTTTATCTTTAAAAGGGTTCTTCTTCCCGCCAGGAGACCACATTGCTTGATCGAGCTTACCATAGAAAATTCTTTTGGGCAGACGGTCGTCTGGCATTCTCACAACATGTCCCGCAAAGCGAAGCTGGTACTGAATTAAGATGGTAAAGATGCCTTTGTGAGCACCTCAGTGTCTGGGACCCTGTCTGTCATTTAATGTGGAGGATTTTTCTGAATCTTGTATGAAAGTGGTTCACCAGTCTTGCTTGCACTTAAGGTGCAGGTACAAGAGGTCCCTGATGGTGTTTAACAGGACCTTCGTTTTGGTATGTAGTCTTTTGGGGTTGAATAGATTACTGTCAGTCCGGTATCTGAAGCCAATTCCAGCGTCTCCCTCTCTGAATGCATCGGTCAGCAATGGGGAAAACATGAGGCTGAGAAGTGTTGGGGCAAGTACACAGCCTTGTTTCACGCCGTTTGTTACAGGGAATGGTTTTGATGTTTCTCCATCATCCCAGACTCTAGCCTGCATATCTTCATGGAATAGTCGTACCATTGACGCGAACTTTCTGGGGAATCCACATTTGGCCATGACCTCCAAAGAAACTCTCTACTGACAGTGTCGAAAGTTTAGTCCAGGTCTTCAAAGCTAGAGAGGAGGTCAACATTTTGTTCCCTGCACTTTTCCTGTACCTGTCTGGCGGCAAACACCATATCAATGGTTCCTGGTTCCCTGCACTTGTCCTGTACCTGTCTGGCGGCAAATACCATATCAATGGTTCCTCGTTCCCTGCACTTTTCCTGTACCTGTCTGGCGGCAAACACCATATCAATGGTTCCTCGTTCCCTGCACTTTTCCTGTACCTGTCTGGCGGCAAACACCATATCAATGGTTCCTCGTTCCCTGCACTTTTCCTGTACCTGTCTGGCGGCAAACACCATATCAATGGTTCCTCGTTGCCTCCAGAAACTAACTTGACTGTCTGGCAGTAGACCCTTTTCAAGATGCTTCATAAGACGATTTAGCAAGATTCTGGCTAATATCTTAAGAGCAGTGAAATGCCACGGTGGTTGTCGCATGATTGACGTTTCCCTTTACGCTTGTACAGGTGACCTATAGGTGTATCTTTGAAGTCATGTGGTATAATCTCGTGCTCTCAAAAACGTATGAACAGCTGGTGAAGCCTTTCAGACAGAGCTATCCCTATTTTTTGTATACTTCAAATGGGATTGAGTAATCACCTGGTGCTTTTCCGCTTAAGAAAAGCCTTATGGCATGTTAGGTCTCAGTTTGGGGAGGGGCGTCTTCCAGTTCTTGATTTAAAGCCACCTTTATGAGACGATTTATTGCCTCATCATTGATGGATGAAGGTCTATTCAGGATGTTGTCAAAGTGTTCAGCCCAGCGTTCAATATTTTTTTTCCCTTCTCAGTGATTAGAGATTTCTCATCAGCACTCAGAAGTAGAGATGATCCTGACGAAATAGGGCCGTAGACTTCAATTTTTAAACCATTGCATTTACCCAAGTTCAGGTTCTAATATTCTAAAGTGTTTTTCTCTATTTGAAACTAGACTCCTTACGACAAAGCTGTTGAATTGCTAAAATCGGTAAACTTTCAGTTGGCCAGTCAATAAATCCCGCGTGTCTTTCCCTTTATAACAATTTGCCCGTTCTACCATTATGTTGAAACAATAAAAGGACATAATCCCGATCAAACGGGCTTGTCATTTAATGGCGGAAATCTATTAATAGAACTGATGTCATCATTACTCATCATCCGGTTACTCAGCGCGGACAAAATGTCAACACTGTTCAGTATTACTATGTTAGCGAAGTGTCCCTGAAACTTGTTGACAACTCTGTTTTACGAAATATTTTACACATTTTTTTTACTTCTATTTTCTGAAATGGGACTTCATTGCGCGTACGGCAAATGTAACAGTAACTCTAGATACAAGGATCGTCAGAACGATATGCTGAAACACACTATAAGCTGCCATGTTGTAAGCAATATTCGTCCGCAATGACGTTTTCCGGTCTGAGAAATGACAAAGCCTATTTCCTTCAGAGTGTCCTGCCTAGAAAATGCAATAACTTTCAGAAAGAAGAGAATCTATTGGAAAAGACTAGAGTATAAAGTGACGTGAATACAATGCCTCCATACAAATAGGTATGCCCCAGTTAGTGTGTCCAGCTGTTAAAGGCAAGATCTTGAGTCCCGGGGTTGTGTCAAGCTGGTCCAGACAAGATGCGTCTGCCCCGGGATACTGTGTCCAGCCAGTTCAGGCCAGATAATATTCTCCAGGTTACTATGCCCAGCCGGTCGAGGCCAGATCGTGTTCCCCAGGATACTGTGCACAGCCAGTCCAAGCCAATACTAGGGACTTAGGCTACTCTGCACATGCCTCTATGTTCCGCCAATGGAATCTGTCGCTTGGTTCTAGATATGCCTCTATATTCCGCCAATGGAATCAGTCGCTTGATTCTAGATATTCCTCTATGTTCCGCCAAAGCAATCTGTCGCTTGATTCTAGATATGCCTCTATGTTCCGCCAAAGCAATCTGTCGCTTGATTCTAGATATGCCTCTATGTTCCGCCAAAGGAATCTGT